GCCCCTCGGCCAAGCCTCCGCCCCCTCCCGGGTCCTCTTCACCTGGCTAATCCCACTCATCACCGCCCCCGCCCCTCGCGAGAGCCTTTCCTGGACCCGCGACCCCGCCCGTCCCCGACGCCGGCGCTGGGGACCCCCCTGCGCCTTCCCCCACAAAACTGCTCATGGCACAGCTCGAACGGTGCGGCCGCACGTAATGCCTCCCCGGGGAAGCTGGGCGCTCCTCGGAGGCAGGGAACACCTTACCGCCCCTGCAGCCGTACAGCCCACCCGACCTGGCACATGATGCAAACTTTAAAAATATTTTTAAAAAATGTACAGGGCGTTTGCTTTGTATTTAGCTTAAATATATATAATGCTCACCCTCACCATGTGCCAGGTACTCATCTAAATGCTTTACGAGTATTTCCTCGTTTAATCCTTACTCCATGGGTTCTCAAAATGTGGCTTGACGATCCCTGGGGTTCCCCAACACCCAAAGGGGCTCTGTGAGGTTGTCCCTTTTGCCCGCTGCGTATGAGTGACAGGCTAGGTGCTTCATGTACTTAAAACAGCATTTTGCATTTAAAACAGGCTGAATAGGCAGAAGCACATCTGATGATCCAGCTCTCTCATAATGAGCTAGGCATTAAAGAGATTTGCAAACATATAAACAATGCCACTGTTCTCAGTACTTTTTGTTTGTCTCGAAACAGAATTATTTCCATTAAAAATATGTTAAAATGTAATGTGTATTTTTACATTACTATTTTTTAAAAACATGAATTTAAATTTCAAGTTACAGTGGCTATCCATAGATCTAAACCATCTGTTAAAATCTCTTTAGGGTCTTCAATAGTCAAGTGCCCTTGGAAAAGACCAAAAGGTTTGAGAACTGCTTACACCATCTAAGAAGTATTATTATCTCTGTTTAACAAATGAGGAAAGCGAGGCACAGAAAAGGCCACATAACTCACCGAAGGCCGGGCAGCGGTAAGGGCTGACACCTAGGTCAGACGTGCGCCCAGCAAGCCTGCGCGGTAGGCCTCTCCCCACCCTGGATCGGGGACAGCGAGGAATCCGGAGGGGCTTGGGCGTCCTGTAGCCACTGTGACAAACTGCCACAGACTTGGTGACTTAACCCAATAGAAACGTATTCTCTGAGAGTTCTGGAGGCCAGAAGTCCGAAATCGGGGTGTCGGCAGGTCTCCGCTCCCTCTGAAGGGTCCCACGGAGGCTCCCGCCTTGATTCTCCCCGCTTTCGGCTTCCTTGGCTGTGGCCGCATCGCTCCAATCTCTGCCTCTGTCTCCCCTGTGTGTCTGCTCTGTATCTTTTACAGGGACACTTGTCTTTAGAATTAGGGCCTACCCTCACAATCTAGGATAATCTCATTTCAAGATCCTTAATCATACCTGCAAAGACCCTTCAAATAAGGGCACGTTCACCGATTGCAGGGATTAGGATGTGGACATGGCTTTGAGGGGTGGCTCCGTTCAACCCACTAGAGGAGTTTAAATAACTTGCTTAGGGTCCTACAGCTGGGAGGGATGGAGCTGAACCCACTGGGTACCTGTGGTGAAGACAGCAATAAATAATGACAAGTCAGGGCAGCTTTGCCCTGGAGGCAGCAAAGATGACTGAGAACCTGCTGGAAGGGGACAAAGGTCAAGGAGCCACAGCGCCAGCCTGCAGCCTGCGCCTCTTGATGGTAGGAAAGGAATGGGAGGGTGGGGGGATATAAATGACATTAGGGAGGTAAAGGGGAGGCAGGAGTCTGAGGTGGCCCCGAAACGGTGAGCCTGAGTGCTTAGGGAAATAGTTACAATCTTAAGAAAAGTAGGGAGAGGCAGTCCAGCCTGGTGCATAAGCGTCCAGAGCCTGTGCGTTCTAATCTTGGTGCAGTCACTGACCACGAGTGTGACCTTGGGCAAGTCACGTGACCTCTCAGGGTCTCAGCCTGCCCTCCTCTGTACAATGGGCTCACGGCGAGTAATCGTGATTATTAAATGAATCAACATACATGCTGGCCACACCAAGCGCTGCAGAAGAGTTAGCTTTAGGATTATTAAGGAAACCTGGAAGAGATATCCTGTCTGAGTGTCGGTGTGGATGTCCAGCTGACAGCCAGAAATGTGGACGTGGAACTCAAGACTAGAGCGGTGAATGTGAAAAGACCGATACTAACATTCATTCATTCAGGAAGTATTTAGCTTTTACTATATGCCAGGTACTCTGCTAAACCTGTGGGCTATGGCAATATACAAGGACAGATTACTGTTCTCGTGGGATAGACAATAAACAAGTTTTACAATAAAAGTCCCAGACACATCTTCTCACTTATATTTTAAGATGTATTTCTAAAATATATTGAAACAATATATGGTACGTTATCCACGGTACCATTATCACACTTGAAAAAATTAAAATTTCTTCATTTCAAATATGCAGTGTGTTCAAAATGTCAACTGTCTCATAATTTACTTTTTTAGTTTTGTTTAACTCAAGATCCAAATATCTGTATATTGCAATTTGTTGATGTGAAACTTAGTCTCTTTTAATCTTCCATCTTCCCCCTCCCCCACCTTTGTCTTGATAGTTATTTGCTGATAAAATGGGATTTTTTATCTTGTAGAGAGTCTCAGTCTGGATTTTGCTAATTTCACCACCGTAATGTCCTTTAACATGTGTATGTTTTCTGTTTTCTGTTGAGTAGTTGGAGCAAGAGATGTGACCTTGTTCGAGTTCATTTATTTGGCAGTGGTGTGTTGCTCTAGCATTTCTTTTTCCATTTTTTTGGGGGGGGTTCATTTTTTAATGTTTATTGAGATACAAATCACATGCAATAATAGCTACCGTTTTAAAGTGTAAATGATTTAGTGGTTTTTAGTATATTCACGGGTTGTGCAATCACCTCTCTCGAGTCTCAGACACTCTCATTAACCAGATTCAGAGAGGGAGTTCAGAGGCTGAGCAGAAAACCCCACGCGGCCTGGTGGGGGCGGGCATGCAAAATTGGGCCGGAGCCGAAATGCTGGGGATTGACAGAAACGGGATTGAAGGCCACCCCACTAGAGGGCTCCTTTCCTCCACCCTCTGTGCACGGGGCACTCAACCGATGGAGGGAGGACTCTGGACTTCCTGAAATCTGTATGAACAAGATGACATGTTTGTGAATCGATTTCAAATAGCCCACTTGGAGGGTGGGATGGTTGGGAACAGGGATGAAATGGAGACCGGCCATTTTGTTAATAATTGTTGAAGCTGGTGATTGGGAATATGGAAGTTCATTGTACTATTCTCCCTCCTTCTGTAATATTAGAAATTTTTCGTAATATAAAGTTTTTTTTTTTTAGTCTACGGCCATGCCACCCTGAACGTGCCCGATCTTGTCTGATCTCGAAAGCTAAGCAGGGTCGGGCCTGGTTAGTACTTGGATGGGAGACCCCCTAGGAAGACCAGGTGCTGTAGGCATTAACAAAAAAATGCACAAAATAACAACAACAAAAATTCTTTTTAAATAAAGACTTCAAACTTGAAGGCGTGCCAGAGTATTAACTTGCCTGGGATGACCACAAGTCTTGCTTCAGCCATGGATCAAAGAGGAGAGATCTGATGCCACCAACAGGAACAGCAGATCTGGAGTGGGCAGGGAGGATGAGTGGGTGCTGGGGACCACCCACAATTATGGGCAGGAGGAAGAGCTGTGGGCAGATGACAGATGGTTCCTCACTCTGTGAGCAGTTGGGCTGGGCACGTGGCAGAGAGAAGCAGTGATTGTGTGCGAGAAGTCACCACTTCCTGGAAAATGAGGCCACAGGGGCCCAAGACCACACTGGACCTTGAGAGGCTACTTCGGGGCGCTTGAATATAGCTTTCCTGTGCTGTTGCCATAGACTGTGCATGAACTGAATGCGTGTGCTCTCAAATTCATAGGTTGAAATCTTGGCCCCCAATGTAGCCGTGTTAGGAGGAGGGGCCTCTGGGAGGTAATAAGGTAGTGAGGACAGAGTCTTCATCATGCATGGGATTGGTGCCCTTATAAAAGAGACCCCAGAGGGCTCCCTCGCCCCTCTGCCGCGTGAAGACACAGCGGAAAGACAGCCAGCTACGATCCAGGAACAGGGCCGTCGCCAGACACTGAATCTGCCAGTGCCTTGACCTTGGACTTCTAGGCCTCCAGAACCGTGAGAAATAAGTTTCTGAGTTTATAAAGGGTCTGGTCGATGGTATTTTTGTTAGAGCGGCCCGAGCTGATTAAGATAGACTATTTTATGAGCACCCCTACTTTTCAGGATTCTGAGCAGTCTCTCCCCCAACTCTGCATTACTTAGCCTGTCCCTTGGGCTTGATCCCAACGACTGACAACCCGAAATAGTCTCAGAGCCTCCCTTCGACCCACGCCGCCCTCCTGACTCCCTGATTGCTCTTCCAGCTTCTCATCCCTCCTCCTTTAAAGTGACCGACTTGAGATGGCCATGGAGAATTCTGATGTCATTACTACATCTTTATTTTTTTAATTAAAAAAAAAATTTTTTTTAGGTGAGGCAACCCTTGGTTGACCTCACAGATTGCAAGAAACTTGTCAGCTTACAATTACTTATTTTTTATTTTTTATGTCTACGGCATCTGGTCTTTCCATCTAAGTACTCATCATTACATCTTTAAACACCAGAAATGTCACACAAGACTCCTGGTTTGTTCTGTATTGATTCTACTTGATCGTCACCCTCCCTCCAAAGAGACTGTACAGAAGACATGATCAGGCTCCCGAAATCAATCCTGGAAAACAGGAAGATCAAACCTTAGCAACGAGATGCTTTCAAGTGCATTGGGCATGCTCGCTGAATGTCAATGTCGGTTTCTACCGTATGAGCGGTCACGTGTTAATGCTAATCTCTGTCGATGTTCCATTACGTTATGTGAACCTGGCAGCTGCCTCTCTGCTTCGAGGGGCTCATCCACTCAAATGGCTGGGCTCTTGATTAAAGAAAAGGCTTCAAAAACATATTTAAAAAGTAAAAAAAATCACCCATCGCTTTTGCATGGGTCCCTTCAAAAGCTCACAAGCTAATGCTTTCTTGGAGAGAACAGTGCCAGGGGAGCAAGAACGAGAGGGAAGGAGAGAAGAAAGAAAGGAGGAAGAGCGAGCTCAAGGTGGCACGTTAGCAAAGTTGGCAAGAACACGCGGCTGCTTGCTGGGTCTCGTGGGATGTGTCTGGGAGGATGTGTGAAACCACAGGATGTCAGAACCGTCCGGCAACACGGAGTGGGCTGCTGGTTGGGGAGGTGGACGTGGGGGAAGGTGGCAATTTATCTGCTCACAAATGTCTCTCGTTAGTCCTCCCCGTGGGCCGTCGGCCTCCCCCCACTTCTGGGCGGACCCCGTCTCGCTGGCGTGGTCCCGGTTGCTGCAGCCTGTGCCCTCGTAGTCTTCTGAGAACGTCGGAAATGTTAGGAGATGCGGTGACTGTGGCACTGTGCAGGGCTCGGCCACCACGGGAACAGTATGAGCTGTGGCTGAATGTGTTCGTGTTCCAGGTGGGGTTGGGGAGGGCGCAGGTGGGATGAAGGGACCTGGGCCTGTCGTACCCATAATCAGACCACTTACAAAACTGCATATTTAGTAGAATTCCTCCCATCCCATCTCCGCTCCCAGCTAACTACCGTTGACAGTTCGGTCCATGCTCTTCCTGATTTTTCCCTGAGATTATGCATATATATTGAAACACACATTTTAAACGGAAGCATGACATACATATTAGCATGCAATTTGCTTTTTTCACTTAATATCTATAACTGTTGTCCAGCTCAGTATATATAGACCAACCTCATTATTTTTTTAAATAGATAATGCCCACCGCATTCTTTTAAATGACTGTGTAGTTGTTTCGTGGATGTCATGTGATTTACCTGATCATGTCATTTCTCCCTCGCAGACATTCACGCTGTTTCTTGGTCTGGGCTATTTTAAACAATGTTGCTGTGCCAAGTGGCACTTAATTTGGGGTTCTTTCAACTTTATGAGAAGTGAGTGGCCAACACATGTTACGTCCTCATCTGCCCAGTGCCTCTGTTCCCATCTGTAAATCAGGCGCTAAGGAGAAGGCTGAGGGCCACAGCTCACACTGCAGACAGCAAAGGCCCCATGGTGCTTGCTGCCCGCAGACAAGCTTCCCTCTAAAGCACAGTTTTGCCCGTGATTCCCAGTGTTCTTTGGGGCTGCGAGGCGGCCATCTGGTCCTTTCCTATTCTCCACGCTTCAACCAAGCTGGCCCTTTTTTCAGTTTTCAGACTCGCCAAGGCCAGAACCCTCACACGATGCTTTAGGGACTGTAATTGGTAAAATCATTTTGGAAAATGGGCAGTTTTCCAAACCCAAACACACGCCTACCCTCTGACCCAGCCCGTCTGCTCCTGGGTTTCCACCCAACAGAAGTCAGAGGAGAAATGTCCAGAGCAGCTTTACTCGGATCATCCGCAACAGGAAATAAGCTGAATGTACTTTTTAAAAAAAATATGGCTTCTTTCACTCAGTATAATGATTCCGATTCGTCCAAATCGGTGCGTGTATAGCCCACTCCTTTTTATTGCCGAGTAATATTCCTTTGCATGGATGTGTCACAATTTGTTCATCCGCTCACCTGTCGTTGAACATTTGGGTCGTTCTTAGTTTCTGCCTAATTCACGTGCAAGTCCTCGTATGGACAGGGGCTTCCCTGTCTCTGGGGTAAATGCCTGGAAGAGGAATGACAGGGCAGCGTGGGAAGTGGGTATTGACTTTTCAAGAAACCGCCCAACTGTTTTCCTAAGTGGATGTGTTATCTTACGGTCCCACCCGCAGTGACGAAGCGGAGCGGGCCTGCACCGTCCTAATTTCACCCATGTCCCCGGGTGATTCGACTTGGTTACCCAAGTTTGAGAGCCACTGGCTTAGATGGTGACGGACTGGGGGGCGGGGGGCTCTTCCTTCACCGGAGCAGAGACTTGGGGAAAGAGAGGGAGTAAGCCACGAGGAAAACTGAGAGAAGAAGGTTCCAGACAGAGGAACAGGATGTGCAGAGCCCGAGTCGGGAGTGTGCCCGGTGCGGCAGGGTCGGCGAGGGGGTCCGTGGGGCTCGGGTGGAGCGGAGAGGGTAGGCGTGGGAAGAGACAGACAGCGCTGGGGCCGGAACACGCAGGGCCCCAGGGGAGGGTAGGTGCTGTGGATCTAACTCTGAACGAGCTGGGAGCCACTCTGGGGTTCTAAGCAGAAGCACGACACGATTTCATAGCAGAGAAACCGAGGCTCAGAGAGGTAACTTAACTTGCCACAGGTCACACAGTAATTGGCTAAGCTGAGGTTCAACCCCGCTCTGTCCAAGGCCAGAGAGTGTGTTGTTGACCTCAATGCCCTCTTGGAGCTGGCTTTGGTGTCAAATAAATAAATAAAAAGTGGGTGTCGGGGAGCTGTCAATGTCCCCCGAAGACCAGCAAGAACACGCTGGTAGTGAAGCCGAGTGGGTTGGTGACTCGCAGCCGGGGGGAACATGCACCACGGGGAAGCGTGCGGCGTCTCGCTGTTGGAAAGAAGCTATCACAGGATCTGGGCTTTCGTTGGGCGATTCTGGGAAGGGTTTAAGGATCTGAGAGTTTGCTCTAGAGTGGGTGCTGTCAGGAAGCGGGATAATTCTGGGACCAGGGGTCTGAAGAGGTCTGCTCCGCACAGAGGGCAGAAAGGGGTGAGGCCAGAGCTGTCACCGGTGAAGGAGCAGCTGTCACTCACATTAGTCAAGACAGGGAGGAGTTTGGTATTTTGTGTCCTGGACCATGTTTGTGTTTCATCGTGTTCCACCACGGCCACAGGGTGGCCTTGCCTGATGTTGATGTTCTGTGAAACCGTTATTTGGACGGGAGGATACCACAGCCAGGTGACAGCGCCAGGCCAGCAGACGGATGTCAGGCACCGCTCCGCTCTTTCCCAAAGATGTGACCGCTTGGTATTCATGGTGGAAATATGGCCTAGGCAAAAACAAACCCACCCCGACCAGCTCGGGCGTATGAGTGAATCTCCAAGACACAGCCTCTCCTGGCTGTCCTTTTTGCCACCCTACTCCGGCTGTGCTCAGCTGGCTGTTTCTGGACTATACCTCGGACCATCGAAAACTCTTCCCTGTTGGTTTCTTTTAAACAGCTTTATTGAGTTATAGTTCGCATGCTACAAATTGCATGCATTTAAAGGGGACAATCGGTGACTTTTTGTATATTCACAGATACGCGTAACCGTCATAACCACCTAGTCACAGAACGTGATACGTGCTCTGAACAGAAACCCAATTAGCAGGCCCTCCCTGCCACGTCCCTACTCCCCGCCACGGGCCGAGGCGACCACCGAGCTGCTCTGTCTCTATGGATTTTCCTGCTTTAGACATTTCACGTAAATGGAAACGGACAACGTATGGCCATTTTGTGACCGGTTTCTTGGACTCAGCATCGTGTCTTCAAGGTTCGTCCATGCTGTGGCGTGTCTGTGCATCTTCCTTTTTCACGGCTGTGTGAATGGACCATGTTTCGTTTATCCAGTCACCCACCCGTGTCGGACCCCGGGTTGTTTCCGCCCTCCCCGCTGTTTTGCCCGTGGTAATAGCAGTATCTGAAGCTCAGACCACCTCGTAGGAACCTTTACGTCCTCACAGAGCTCCTTGTTCTGGGGAGATGAACCGGGCTCCAGAAGAGGGGGTGGGAAGGAAGGGAGGAAGGGTTCACCCAGCCAGGAAGCTCCAGCCACCGAGTACCTGCGTGTGCCAGGCGGGGCTCCGGGACTGCAGAGATGGATGTGGCCAGAAGTCCCTGTAGTCCAGTGAGGAGAGAGGACATCTGCTGCTTCTGCCTGCTAAGATCCATCCCGTTGTTCTGATCTTCCTCAGGGGAACCACTCCTCCCCTGCTGCCTGGTTCCAGGGGAGGCCCAGTGCCTGGTGGTTGGCTCAGGGATGGGTGCAGATCTCAGACAGTCCAATGCGAGTCCATGGGACTTTTCCTGGCCTCTCGGAAAAGGTTATCATTGTGGTTGGTTGCTTTTTCCTAGTGGGTTGCTGAGAAGATCGGCTGGAAGCCTGGGGCTGCTGATGGCCACCTTGTCACCGTCTGGGGAGAGCCAGGCTGAGTAAGAAGGCAGGAGGGAGGAAGCAGGGCCAAGATATGGGAGATCAGACCACATCCTGGTCATTAGAGCACCTGGCTCAAGCTGTGCCTAATTTTTTGCCACCTCTAGGCTCTATAGCTGAACCGATAATCTTTAAGATTTAAAAAAAATGAATTGTGGTGATATTTTCACAACTCTGTGAGCATAACTAAAACCACAGAATCGGACACTTTAAAAGGGTGAATTGTATGTTATATAAATTATATCTGAATAAAAAAAATAAAATGACAAGATAAAGACTATGATGGAACCACACGCAGGATTTTGTTGAAACTCAGAATAAGAGCAGCGGACTCAGTCTGCAGAGGCGGGTAGGGAAGCAGCCTTCCTGAGGAGACATTACTCCGTTTCACAGGTGAGAAACTAAAGATCCCCCAGCAGGGAATTGAGTATGCACCCCTAAAGAAGTGACAGGGCTAAAAGAGGGATCAGTACTTCCTAGCCCCAAATCTAGTCTTTGAAAACACAGTCTCTCTTTATGCACTGTCGAAATGACTAATCCATGCCACCAATGAACTGACCAGCTTATTTTAAAACATATGTAGCATCGAGCCTACTTATCATCGGCATCTCCAAACAGATATGGGCTGAAGTCTCTGTACTTGTAACGCCTTGTTTCGGATCTCCAGTTTGTCAAAACTCTTTAATGCAAACTGGCCTAAGCAAAAGAGTGACATAAAAAAGCCATCCAGGACGTGGACTTCAGGCACAGCTGCATCCGGGAGCTCGGCGAGGTCCTCTGACTTCCGCTGTTCTTTGATGCTCAGCTCCAGATCCATGCAACGTTTCATCACTTCCTGCAGGCGCTCTCTCTACGCATGGTGGCGCAGGTGGCCTCCAGGACCTCTAGTGTTACATCCTACTGGTTCAAGAACCGTATCATTGGCTGAGCTTGGGACATGGGCCCACCCCCAGACCAACTGCTGTCCTTAGGGTAGATAGCTGCTGATCGGTCAGGCTTAGAGCAGGAGGTGGGGGACAGTCCACCTGAGTGGCATGGGATAAGACAGGAGTGAGGGAATCGTCAGTGGACAAGCGGGGTGCTCGACAGAGCAGAGAACAGGTACGGAACAGACCAAAAAAATATATATATATATCAATATTTAGTTTGGGACCAGGAAGCAGGTAGTGCTCGCCCACACTGTGGAAATGTGGCCGTGTCAAAACTTTCTCTTTTTAATACTTCAATTTCATCTTCATGATCCGGACTACTCTTTACACATGATTATCCAACTTTTTAAAAAATATTGCCTCCCTCTTTACTAATACCCTCGTCAGGGGATCCCATCATCAAGAATGGCCCCCTTCTGCTCCCCTCTAACTTCTCAGATTTAGATTACCCTCTTCAGCCTATAATTAATTACTTCCAGGTATTGTTCCCTGCCTACACGCAGAACCCATCACAGGGGCCCGGGGTCACGTGACCCAGCCTCACTCTTAGTAACAAACTCCCGTTTATACTTCTCATTTTTTACAGATGCTAATTTTGCATTAGGTTTACAATTCAGGACTAGAGTTTGTATCAGTCAGAAAATAGAACGCACTCTAGGTCTTTCCAACAGAAAGGTTTTCATGTAGGAAACTGGTTAAACAGGTGTATTAGTTATCTACTGCTGTGTGAAAAGCAACCCCCACATTTAGTGGCTTAAAACAACAATAATCATTATCTTTCACAGTGCCTGCAGGTCTGGGGTTCAGGGACAGCTTGGCTGAGCGGTTCTGATATAAGGTCTCTCTTGAGTTCACAGTCAAGATGTCGGTAGGGGCTGCGGCCATCTGAAGACTTAACCGGGGCTGGGGGAGCCACTTCCAAGATGGCTGTCACATGGCTTTGGCTTCAGCTTCTTTCCAAGTGGGCCTTTCCCAGAGCTGCTTGAGTGTCCTCATGACAGGACAGCTGGCTTCCTCCAGAGGAAGTGATCCAAGTGGACAAGGTAGAAGCAACAACACCTTTTATGACTTAGCTTCAGTGGTCACACACTGTCACATCTGCCACACTTCCTTAGATAGAAGTGAATCACTAGGTCTGCCTCCCAGTTCAGGGGAGAGAAATTGGGCTCCACCTTTTGAAGGGAGGCGGGTCAAAAGATTTGTGGATATATTTTGAAATCATCACAACAGGAGATGATAGAGTAGAGGAGACAGATGAGGGAGGACGAGACAGCCCACAAATTAATAACACAGAAAGAGACTCACTCATTTAGGACTGGAAGGGCAGAGAGAGGAAGTGGGGTTACCAGAGCCCGGAAGCCAGGACCACCCAGGAGAAGCTGGCACCTCGGAGGAGCTGGAGCCCTGAACATGCAGTCCCTAGAGGAGGTGCTTCCCAAAGCGGAGACCGGGACGAACGCCCCGGCTTCTCCCTCCCTCCGCCTTCCGGTCTCCTGTTAGTACCTGCAACCGGCTGCACCTCCTGGAAGCAGAGTGCCGGGGAGCCTGCGATGCTAGGGGAGCGGAAGAGGGCCGGGGTGGGTCCCGGATCAAATGGGCAAAAGACTGCGGATGGCTGATCTGCTAAGGTGGTGATACTGTGGTTTAATCTGTCTTGAATTCTGATTATTTTTCTATTTTACTGTTGTTCTCAATAAAGTGACACTTTCAAACCAAAAAATGAAAAACAATAAAACAAAAAAACAAATAGAAGAAAAAAATCCCCAATCTCCTTTAATCTTCCCTAATTTAAAAGAAGACTTCTGTGGGGTTAACACCCAGAGAGCAGAGAGCTGAGGGGGCCTTTCTGTGGAACAGGCTTTGTTATTCCCTTTTAAACTTGTCAACATTTGAGAACAGACTGATGCGACTGATATAAACACCTCATCCATTTCTCATTCGGTTTCCTAGTCTGCACTACAGGCTTTTGATTCCAAGTAGAAATATTTTGTCCATTCCAGGTATATACCCGAGAGAACTGAAAACATATGTCCATACATGTGTGCATGTGTGTGCACAGCAGCACTCTTCACAATAGCCAAAAAGCAAAAACAACCCAAATGTCCATCAATGGGTGGATAAACAAAATGTGGTACATCCATACAATGGAATATTATTCAGCCACCAAAAGCAATGAAATACTGACATAGGCTACAACATGGATAAACCTTGAAAACATTGTACTAAGTGAGAGAAGCTGGTCACATAAGGCCACATATTGTAGGATTCTATTTTAAATCCATAAAGACAGAAAGTAGATTAATTGTTGCCAGAGGCAGGGGAGAATGGGGAACGGATGCTAACTGATACAAGGTTTCTTTTTGGGATGATGAAATGTTTTGGAATTAGATAGTGGCTATGGTTGAGCAACTTTGTGAATATGCTTAAAACCACAGGAGGGTTTTAAAGAATGCAGTTTCTAGTATGTGAATTACATCTCAAGAAGGAAGGACGGAAGGGAAAGGAGGAGGGGAGGGGAAGGGAGGGAGGAAGGGTCCACATTTGTTGCACCTCACTGACCACCAATCACCACTTGGCCAGATCCCAGTCGAGAGCTTCATTCATCATTCAACAAATATTTATTGAATACCCACTATGCGCCGACTGTTTGTGTTGGATGTATTCATGCACACCGTGACACACTAGCTCATACCAATCTGTGCTGAGGACATGAGGACTTACTATGGGTGACCTGGCAAGCCTTGAGAGCCTGCGCTTCTCTGAATTAATTTCTCTTCACTCTGAAATTATGTTGAGACAGCTGATGAGTAATTATGACAATGATGCTAAAAAGAAAAACCTGTACAAAGAAAGAACAATACCAAGAACTAATAGTGGTTATTTTATGGTACTGCGATTAGAGTTACTTTGTCTCTTTTCCAATTATTAGATAGTACAATGACTTTGATAACATAAATTTACAGATGACTTCTGGCTGCGTCTTCGATTTGGCCACTACTGCGTTTTCAAAAATTGAGTTGAACGTATTTAGGTAGAGCATCTATGGGGCAGTTTGCCGCAGTCCTCCCTACTCCCTATTGCCTTAAGCTGGTGTCGTCTCTCATTCACACGTCTCTGAAAGTGGCTGATTCCTAAAGGCATTTGAATTCGGGTCCCCTGATTTATAAAATAAAACCCTCACAATATACAATTAATTCTCCACACTTTAAATCCCTGATATGTGGCATTAGAATATTATTTAATTAGTTAAAACATGAAAATTAACATATTTAATTTCTAGATAAAAACAGAATTGTTCTTGGCACTTTTCTACATGGCTGGGTTGCTTGGGAAGTCAAAAACCCTCGTCCATCAGTTTAATTCAGTTTAATAGGAAACCTTTGTAGGTATTTTAAGCAGAAAGAGATTTAATACAGGGAAATAGAGGCATATAAATGGGTTGGTGAGGCTGGAGGAACAGGGTCTAGGCTGAACCTCCCTCCAATGATGGCTCCCAGAATAACCCCACAGAACTGACCTTCCAGGAGAAGCAGGGACATTGTCCCAGTGTGGAAGATGGGGAATCAGACCATTACTAGAACTCTTGGGTTCAATAACACATTGTCATAGGCAGGAACCTTCCATCACTGTGGCTGCACCTGTTTCTTGACACCTGAAGTAGGAAGCTGGATATTGGGCCACTACTGCCCCCTATTGCCTGATGTCCTTAAGAGATAATCCCTCAAACTTGCAGGCACAGTCTCACACATGGCTGTGATCTGATCCTCATGACTTTACCGGATAAGCAAATCACACCGTTTGTCCCTATCTTTACAGAAAAGGAAAGGGGTGATGTAACATAATTAAGGTCACACAGCTATGTGCAAAACTGGAGTGACGACCTAGGTTTCCTCATCCCCTGGCCAGTTCAATGAACTCAACTAACACGTCATGAGGTCTTTTGTGGCCGTGGAGCATGGCCTGAGAGCACGGTCGTGAGTGACAGACCGGTAAATAACTGTAACTCGGTAGGCACAAATCTCCACTGTAGGCACAGAGGACAGGGCTAGTATTTGGCACAAGGATGTTAAGGAGCATATCAGAGAGGCGACAGGTGGCCTCTGAGTTGGCTTTTCAGGGACGGGTAGGAGTATGTCAGAAGGCAAAGGGCGGGGTGCGGGGGAAATCTTCCTGGCAGCCGGTAAGATCTAGGGGTACCGTGTGGCAGCAGGGTTTGGGGAACTGAGAGGATTCTAATTTGGGAGGATTTGGACAAGGTGAAAACTTTTTTTTTTTACAGTAAAATTAGAAGCATTAATCTTAAGTATACATCTTGATTGAAAAATATATGTAAACACTCATGCACCCTTCATTGAGGTGACGATACAAAGCCTCGTGTCCCCCCACAGTCGGTACGTACCCGCCTCCATCCATCCTCCGTCGGTTTTCGGGGGGTGACAGGCCAACATGAGACCCCAAAGCTCTTGGCTTCGGCCCCCGTCTCCCATGGCTTCCGCTGCTGTTCCCTCCAAATCTTTCGCCATCTTTCTGAACGATCCTAAGCGGTTACTGCGGCCGGTCGGGGTGGGTTTCTCGATACCGCCGCTTTCCTGCGCGGTCCAGCGAACTTCAGGACGCGGCCGAGCGGGGACGGAGGTGCGGACGGCGCTTTGTGGTCCTTCGGGGCCACCGTCCGGGCCGGCCGCGCAG